TTAGAGTAGATTGAAGGGTGCCCCTTGTATTATCGCGAAGTTGTTGTTTCATTTATCATGAAGTTATTGTTTCATTTATGGTAACCTAAGTAGTTTAATGTTATGGAAACCCTATTATGGCATAATCGGTTGCATGACTGAGGTAAATTTTGAGTGATAGGAAAAGATTTGTAAAGGCTTGTGGTGTGTGTTGGTTAGGAAGTACATTGCTTGTTTTGTGGTTTAGACAGTAGAATGGCTGAATGTGGTACGATTAATTTGAAGTTTCTGTATGATTTGGAACGAAAGGGAAAAGAGCAGTAATTGGCTGGTGTTTAAATGAAGGCTTACTTAGTAGCCATTATAAGTGTCCTGTTTGTAGGAAGGAAATGCATATAGTCGAACGTCGGATGATACATGCACTGCAGAGGATATTTTTGACTCTATTTTTTTAATTTATGTGGTGATGCTGATATACAGATTCTAGTTCAGATAATTTTAGGAAGTTTTTGGATGCTTTTAAGGAATTTTGTTTGACTGAAGACAGAGAAATTTGTAAATAAGGTAAGTGGATATTTCCTTTGTGTAGTGCTAAGATGAATTTCCTTTTTTATGTTATTTCATTGTTTGATTTAAAATGTACATTATTGAGATTATATATTTTTTGTTGGTTGCTCCTATGATTTTTTAAGTGAATATAAGATCGATGTGCACGTGGACAAAGTCAAAAGGGTGCGCAATGTCAAGTTTCTGTAATTCTCTGATTTTTTTTAAGTGAAAATAGGTCCATGTGTACATGGATAAAGGGAGTGCACAGTGCCAAGTTTGAGCAATTCTCCGTTTTTTTTTTTTTTTTTTTTTTTTTTAGCGAAAATAGGTCGACATGTACATGGATACCTAGTTAGAACAATTCTTTGACTTGTTATTTTGTTTTTGTGTTGGGGCATTTTTTGGCATAAAAATCACCGCTCCACAAAGGCAAAATAACAAGTCAAAGAATTGCACAAACTCGGCATCCTTGTACCACCAAAAATCGCCAGTTTTCGCCAAGGGGCACCCATAAATATATTTTTACCTAATTATTCTTTAAATAACTCATTCGACTACACTAATGAACAACACATTCATATGACATGGAAAGCAAATGAGCATCTAAGATTTCGAGTGATAAAAATTGCTGATCTTTATTTGCAAAGGATGGAAATAAGTATGTAAAAATAAAAATACTCCTCTCCAAAGTTAAAATTTCTAAAAAATTTGAAATTACTACTTTTTAATGTTACTCTGCTAATTCCAAGATATGTCAACCCTTTTTTAATTTGAAAACAAATTAGTGGAAAGAACTTACTATATTCAGAAGACTTTTGAATAATGCAGTGCTAGAAGCAATATTCAGAAGACTTTTGAATAATGCAGTGCTAGAAGCAATATTCCCTGCACATGGTATACGAGACAAAGTTTTCAGGAAAAGCAATATGTAACAGAATTATGAAAAATGAAAGGATTGCAAGGACTTCAAATAATCAGCAGATAGCTGTCAACCTGGGCTTCTGCAGACAGCTGTGTCCAGTTGTAGTTAGGTCAGGCACTAGAAATTTTGCTGCTAAGCGCAACGTCGGTAGCTCCTAAATTCTACCACCTGGTACTTCCTCGCGTGCTAAAAATTTTACCGCCCCTAAATTCTGCTGCAAGTTGAAGCTACACTACAACATCAGCTTTTGTAAATACCCTGGTCGTACTACAGGTTTTCTAAAAAAAATGCAAAATGTGTATATGGGCTGGAGAACGTACAGATCATAACAAACATGAAGTTACAAATAAAAGGAAAATTATTTTTGCTATGTGTAAATGATTCTCCACACGCTCATATTTAAAAAATACTAGTTTCAAATTTAAGAAAAAAATTCGGCAAAAATACATTTCAGGGTACCCCTTGGCGAAAATTGGCGGCATTCCTGTTTACGTCCAATGCCCTTCCCAGGAAAATGGCATCCAAAACATAATGTAATAAAACACAGTTAAACTAAAAAATATATAATCTCAATAAACTGGTTTTAAATCAAACAAGGAAATAACATAAGAATGAAAATACATATTATGTAATCTACACAATACAAAAAAAAAAATATTGACTTACTTTAAAATTTCTGTTTCTTTAGTATGCGAGACAAACGGAATTCCTTAACAGCATCCAAAAACTACATAAAATTATCTAAACTAGAATCTGCATACTGCCATTGCCACATAAATTCACAAAAGTAAACATGAAAAATATTCTCCATACTCCCGGACTATGGATGGCATTTCTTTTGAAAATCCCTTTTTATTACACCCCACATACCTTCCATAGTGTTAATATAACCTCCAGTTTCCAAATCCTTAAATCTCGCTGCACAATTTACCAAGAGGTGAACGAAGCCATTAAAATTTTCATTTACACACCCATCAATCAGTGTTTTCTTTCCCAGTCATTCTGTAGTGTACAGAAACTTCAGGTTAATCAAACCACCAGCAGGCATTTTATGGCGTAAAGCACAAAATAAGCAACATACTTCTTAACCAACATAAATAAGCCCTTACAAATATTTTCCCATATGTCAAATTCACCACAATCACGCAACCAATCACATCATAATAGGGTTTTCATAACATTCAACTACTTAGGTTACCATACATGAAACAACTTGGTGATAATCCAAGGGATCCTAAAATATAGACTAACCAAAAATTCATATTAGCTACAATTATCGGTGGATTATCACCAAGTTGTTGTTTCATTCATGGTAACCTGAGTAGTTGAATGTTATGATAACCCTATTATGACACGATTGGTTGCATGAATTTGACTGATGGGAAAAGTTTGTAGGGCTTTGTTGTGTGTTGATGTTAGTTAGGAAGTTTGCTTATTTTGTGGTTTACACTATAAAATGGCTGATGTGGTTAGATTAATTTGAAATTTCTATAATATTTAGAACGAAGGAGGAGCATTAATTCACTGATGTGTAAATGAAGATTTACTGATAGCAATTATAAGTGTTCCTGTTTGTACAAAGGAAGTGCATATGGTCGAACGTAAAAATTGTTCAGATGGCTTTCTCACAAGATAGGTTCAAATGGTCACCATATAAAGCGTTCCATTAGAAAGGGAATATGGTTTGAGAAAAGTTTTTGGATGCCGTTTAGGAATTTTCGTATGCCACAGACTGAGAGACAGAGAAATTTCTTAATAAGGTAGCTGGCTATTTCCTTTGTGGAGTGCGTAGTGCTTTTTTATGTTATTTCATTGTCTGATTTAAAACACAGTTTATTGAGATTACATATTTTTTGTGTGCAATGCCACAACACAAAAGATTGTGCAATTCTGTGATGTTTTTTAAGTGAAAATAGGTCGATGTGTACATGGATACCGAGTTTGTGCATTTCTTTGACTTGTCATTTTGGCTTTGTTTAGCAGTGATTTTGGACGCAAAAATCGATGCTAAAATAACAAGTCAAACAATTGTATAAACTCTATGTCCATGTACCGCCAAAAATCGACCGTCAAATATAGTTTTAAAGTTTTAGACAAAAATTCATATTAGATACAGTACCTTTACAGATAAAGCTAATATTATACTTCAAATTTTAATCAATTAAATAATCTGGCCATGTTATTTCATATTCTGCAATATATGCTGTCCTAATAAAAATACAGAAAAGCAAAAAATTATATTTTAATGATAAAATCCACCTTTAGCACAGTCATGTGCCAAATGAATTATATTCCTTTCAGTAATTGATAATATAAATATACACATTATTCATCCAAGTAACATTCAACAACTGGAAGAGCAGGAACTTCTTTAAACAAATGGTGAAAGTGCAGAATCGCCCATTGCTTGGCACGTTTTTAAGAATTGCACATATGCGGTATCCATGTGCACGCCGACTTATTTTCACTTAAAAAAAAACCCAGAATTGCACAAAAATGGCATTGCGAACACTCTTGACTTTATCTATGTACACATCGACCTATTTTTTTTTTTTTTTTTTTAAGTCAAAGAAAATTGACAAAAATCCAATTCTTCTTACTCTTGTAAAAAGCGCCAAACAAATAAGTGGGCAATTCTGCACTTTAGCCAAACAAATAATTTTCTTTCAGAAAAATAATATTCATATAATGAAAACCTGTTAAATTATATATTATCACAGATCTCATTCTATATGAATATAGCTGCATCTTACTAAATCATAATCTCGTCCTGTTACTTTGAATTAGTTCATATTCACCTAATAGCTGGAAAAAATAAATGTTTCTGGAGTAACCCAAATATTCTGCACTAATTACATTGAAATTATGACAATATGAGAAAGAACTCGCAGAAATCTCAACTTATATTTTCCAACACACTATTTCAAACGTAAAGGATGGGAGCAATAAAATAAGTGAATTTAGAATCTGAGAGAATACTTAATGCTGGATATTAATAATCGCTTTGAATGGTAGCTAGTCCATTCAAGAGTTCCCGTTTAATTATATCAAATCCATATTATATGTTTTTCACTTTTCGCACCCAAAAATACATTTAATATAAGATTAGTTGCTCAGAATTCGCATATAAAAACTATATTACATTTGGAAAATTGTATACCAAATATTCTTAAGATAAAAACTGACAAAAGAAATCTTTCGTAAATTAATTGCTTTAAAAAGTAACTAATTGCTTTACTTCTTTGCGTGCTTTCTGAGAGACTTTTATAAAAAAAATTACCCTCAGCAATCAGATAATTAAAATTACTACGTATATTTAAGCATAAAAATAAAGAAAAAATAACAATACGGGTGCATTAAATCAATAAAATTAAAAAACTGTTAAAAGCTAGATAATCTGATGTTTTCAATAGTTATTAACAAGATGCTTTAATTAATATACCACGACAGTTAAAGATTCCACTCTTTAACAAGTGATTATCCGCCATTCATCTGTACAAATCTTACTTTAACGGTCTGGGAAATCACTAAATTACGTAAATTCACTTACTTGGATTCGTACTAGACTCCTAAACACATAGCACGACCACAGCGATGCTAAGCACAAAAATTCACAAACATATCAAGCATTCCTACGCAAATTCCACATTTACTTCACTTCAATCACTGATTTAAATAATTAATTTTAAAATAAATCTTGGTTATATAAATTAAATAAAATTACTCCATTCATGGCATAAGAGATTTAAAACGACTTTTTATTGACTTTAAATTACGTTTTAGGTGTATCTGCTGAAGAATGAAGTATTTCACTACAGTTAACTAAATAATTAATATGACAATTATCATTAATTAATGCACTATGAACTAAAGTGTAAAGGCATAAAATGTAAATAATTAATTTAAAAGTAACTCAGTAATATTTTAATAATTATAAATAGTTACTCTGCATATTATATATTATCATTTTGGAAACAGTTTTAATATACTACTTCTAAGAACGTATAGTGAGTTAGAGCAAGATTAGTAAAATACTAGGATTTTAGAAACCTTGAATTAGAGTGTCAGAAAGCAGTACTTCTAGTACACTATAGCAGTACTTCCTATGCATCTGCTGTAAAACAAAATGAATAGTGTGGAGAAAATAAGACGAAAGTATTAAGCCGCCATCAGTCGACGAAGAAGGTGAGTTTTTGGTGGCAGGTCCAAATCAATGACTTGAGGAGTCTAGTATGAGTAAAATATGTTAAGGATGGAGAATATCAGTTGGATACTTGTGTTTTTCTCCCTAAGACAGCTGATGCAGTTGCTAGGATGAGTGAGAAGTGAATAGAAGAAATTTCTGCCAGTTTTTTAATGTAATTTTGAATTGTGTCTACTTTGAAATCAACGGTATATATCGAATTAGAACTATGGATTGATAAGCTTCTCCATGCGCGGTTTTTTTTTTTTTTTTTTTTTTTTTTTTTTTTTCAGAAGAAGAATTTGGATATGTTCAAGGTGAGTTTTGTCAACGCCGCCTCAGACAGGACTAGCATAGAGTAATGCTGGTAGCAGTATAGATTTATATAAGAGGATTTTATTTCAACTGACCATATGACTTCTTCATCCAAGAAGTGGGTGCATAGTTTCAAGCGTGATATTAATTTTTTGCTCAGTTTCTCTGAGATGTTTCTAAAAAAATCAAGTTTTTATATAGAATGGCTCCTAGATATTTGCTTTCGTCAACCCAGTCAATTTCTTCATCAAACAGAAGAGGTCTTGGTGTGAAATTTGTTTGTCCTTTGCGAAAAATTATTGCTTTCGATTTTTCAGTATTAACTGCAATCTTCCAAAGAGTGAGCCAATTTTCTAGAAGATTGAGGTAACATTGAAGAAAAAGCTGGACAACTGTAACAAAAGCTTGGATCATAATTGCAGTATCATCTGTAAAAAGAGGTATGGTAATTTGTGGGTCTTTATGAATATTGTAAGTGTAAATGTTTTATAAATATGGCGAAAGTACTGATCTCTGGGGCATCCAGCGGAAATGTTTCTCGTGGTAGAAACGGTATTGCCGATTTTCACTGTAAAAATACTGTCTCGGAGATAGGAAGCAATAAGTCTAATACAATGATCGGAGAAGTTTAACTTGACAAGTCTCTCAAGTCCCCGGTGCCATATCCTGTGCAGAATTTATATATAAGCTACGCAAGCTGGAGCTTAGGGCCCCCACTTTCTTGTGGGCCCAAAAAACATTTCCGAGTAGCAATTGTCATATATACTTCGCAGCATTATTTGTCCCAATGGCCGCACGTCCAGAACGTCCCATACTCTTCATCACTTTTCTTCTCTATCGAAGAACAAAGAAATGCTGTGTGTAAGGTTTGCATTACTGATAACCGATTAATTATGACTACGAACTTGCTATTAAATTTCGACAGCAAATGCTGCTAATTTCGGTAGTTTTCAAAATAATTTCATTATTATTTCATAATAGAAATGGAACTTGTAAAATATATAATTTCTTTTTCCCTGTGTTATTCGCTACACTAACTCCGATGGTTGCAAATTGCTTAGGAGAAAGATCTTTTTCTCAGTTGAAGAGGAAAAAAATGAATTTAAACACCAATGATCCAAGATAAATTATGTTTCCTCAGTCTCATGTGAATAGAGAATGACAAACTATGAGGTTTATCATGACTTTGCTCTGGCAAAGACAAGAAGTAAAATATTTTATTTTAATATAATTCCTCAATCCTTATAACATGCTTTCAAGAGATTAGGTAAAATAAGTAACTTTGGGGGATTTTAAGGGGGATTGGTTGACAAATGTCTTCCTATTCTTTTTAACATTAGCAAATTGAAACACAGTATACAGAAAAAAGCTCATGAAGAATGAAAAAGTCTGCTGTTACATAGAAACACTTCAAAATTCTGCTCTGTAAAAAAAAGGGGCATGCTTTTTCCTATTATTAATAATATTGCCGAATATCACTTTTGTTTTTTTTAAACGTTTTTTTCGATTATATCACTATTGAAAATGAGGGCACCCTACTCTAACTGATATGTCAATTTCTATTTTGGGGGAACATTTTATTTTTTCTGCATTAAATATAATTTTTTACTTCTGGTAACAAACATTCACCATCATTCAATTCATTCATTAAAATGTCTTCTTGCGCAGAAAATATGCATGTACATCAATTTTGTCTAAAACTTAGCAAACCTAAAACGTAATTTCGCTTTCGCCAAGCAGACAACTTGCGAACTTTTCACGCCATGTGTTGTCGATCGTCTCCTTTGCGTCTGCAAGCTGAACAGGTTTCACTAATGTACCCGCTTTTATTGCCCTCTCTCTCCCCCAAGCAATTGGACGAACATTGATGCCTTTCAATAGCCATTTGCAGAATCATGGAAATGTTACTTCCTGTCCTTCACTAACGAGTCCTCATTGAACGAAAAATTTCTCAAGCGCAATGTTTGTCTGCTAATATAATTAAAAATAAATGATTTTACTAATACCATTAATAAAATAATATTCATCTCAGGTTTATGAGAGTCGAAAAATCATTCGATATTTTTTTTATGAGCGTTAAGATTTTTAAAACTCAGTTTACCAATTGAAATCATTCGCTAAAAACTTGAATGCAATGATATTTTATTTTCGGGTAATTTATAACTTAATCATAGAACGGGAGGCCTTCAAATTATACTTAGTTCCGAATAATCTCATCATATATTAGGTCAGCACTTCACACTGAATACGTTGAAATTAAGCATAACTGAAACGCTTTTAAAATAGTCTCCAGATATTAGGGATTGTGATAATACGTTAATTTTCTCTTCAATAATTCTTATAATATGGCACTTCTTGTTGAATATTTCAGTATTATTTCGTGCATCACTAGTACAAGTTATCTCATTGCGGAAAGGATGGCATAATTTGATGGAAATTTAAAAGGATAGAAATTATGGAAATTTCCTAATAAAATCGCAAAATTCTGCGAATATTTCGCAGCCGATGAATTTCACTTACACTTCCAAAGAACTTGTCAGATAATGACGCATTATGTTAAATTATTTTCAAACAGCCAAGCTTGTCAGTACTAACCGAACCGTTATAGCGATCAAGATCTTGATTTAAGCTGATAGCACAATTTAATAAGTTTACTGGTCACATCATAAGTTACGTCACCTTTTATTTGATATCTGTTATCATGGTTGATTTGGTTTATTTTTTATTAAGCAAACTGAGAATTTTTTAAAAGGAATTGTCCTTCATTGAGAACCATTTTTTTCCACCCTAAGCTTGTCCGATTCGAATCCCCGAATCCCACCTTACCCTGACGAGCGTTTTTCACATCATGGTTTTCTCCAGTGTAACTTGTAATTCAGTTTTCCCTACCAAAAAGGAAGGCACGCTTCCCTTAATATAACGCTCTTTGTCGGTGATTAGTAACCAAACAAACCTTATTCGAAATAAGTTAAACTGGCTGTTCAAAGCTCGAAACATAAATAACAGAAAGCCGCGTGCTATTGCGTAATGGAAAGATGCCTTCCTTGAGAACCGCTACGAACGGCAGAGCGGTAAAGTCACTGAACACTGGTAGCTCGGTCCGAGGTTCGAATCCCACGAACAAAGCGGCTGCACGAGCGTTTTCATGGTTTTCCCAAGTGTAACTTGTACACGAGCCAGTTTCCCTTTGAAAGTCCTCCACGAAGGCATCGCTTCCCTTAGGCAGATAACTCTCGAAGCTTTGACGTAATTACGTAAACCAAACCAAACCTTAGTTAAGGACTTTTTAAGTGAAACTGGCTTGTACCCATGCTAGAATCACGAAACAATCCATTCAACCAGCCCGTTCGTTGCTATTCGAGCCCTTCGAACTACCAGTGTTCAATGGTAGCAGCTCCTCACCGGTACCGCTCGGCCGTCGGTGAGCTAGTCTGCTGTTATGTAACGTGGTTAAATTCGAAAATGGATTGTTCAAAATGTCAGCAAATATTAAAAGCCTTTCGAAATTTCCATAGAAATCTACAGAAAATTCGTGATTTTTTTTTAATGGTGTAAAATTACTAAAAATCCTTAAATTTTGCAGAAATTCCTGCTGTAATAAAGTAGGTCTTGTGGAAGAATTCAAACAATGAGTAATAACTTTACTTTAGAGGCTTTTTTCATTTTGAATCATCGAATATTAATTAATGTTAAAGCAGATGAAAGATCTTTATCTGGGTAAGTATACGTACCTAAATTTCAATGACCATTTAAACTTCTCACTGTACATATTAGATCAGGGATGGGTAAACTTTTTCGGTCGCGGGGGCCAAAGATCGAAAAAGAAAAAAAAAAAAAAATTTGAAGGCCAAGATAAATTTTTCTAAAATTTTAAAAACAATATACAAAGTACTACAACTTAAATATGTTCATGAGATGAATGAAATTGCCATTTCATTTTTAAAAGTTCCTCATATTGAGGTTCGAAAGGAGATGTACTAATTCTAAGGAACGAGGCTAAAATGCTCGTCTGTCAGTCTGCTTCTGAAATAATTCTTTCTAATTTCACAGTCGAAAACACTTGTTCACATGTATCAGATGAAGAAAAACCTAGCACTGATTTTCTGGGGATGAGATAATAGATTTTGGAAACTTATTTTCGATATGCAAAACTCTAACTTTGGCAACTTTGGCTCAGTTAGAAACAACCGCTCGAGATGATTGTTAGACTGTAACTCAATTTATTCCAGCTGAAAATCTGACCTCACTGCTTCACAGTTTACTTCAAAGGCATGGTAAA